AACGTTTCTGTAGCTACGTTGTGGCCATTAACTGAGATAGGGGGGAGCGCTTTCTGATGTGTCTTGATCTTGTCAGATGGTGACCGAATGGGGTGGAAGGGACTACTCTCGGATGAGGCTTGCTTATGGCATGTGGGCCTCGCTGTTTACTTGGACATTGACTGGGATTTGGCTCGAGGATTTTTTTTGCCATCAAGTGGCTTGCGTTACTTCTCTCTACATGGGCCTCGTTCGGATTTGATAACGTTAGAAGATTTTTTTTATTTTTTTTAGGGTATTTGATTGATTTTGAGGATTTTTTTTTATTTTGATAGGACACGTCCTTTTCTTTTTTCTTTTTTTGTTTTGAGGGAGTTTGGGTTTCTGCTGTGTTTTATTAATTTTTTTGTCTTTTCCACCCACTTGATGTTTTAGAGATTTCTATTCTCTTCACCATTTGGCCACTTGTGATTTTTTATTTTTTTTAGGTTTTTTCTTTGATTTTCAACTTATTTTCCGTTATGAATGTTGAATGATTTTTTATAATTTTGATCCTCCTTTTTTGTAATTTTTTTTTAAAAAAATTTAAAATTAAAAGTCTAAAAATTTATGAAGTAAATATTTTGCTATATTTTCTCTACTGCTACAAAGTCAATAATAAGTTTGAAAAACGGAGATAAAGATTTTTGTAGTTTTCTCATTTTATAATTACGATTTTACTTTTTTGTTTTTATTTTGTTTCCTTTACCTTGCATTACAAATTAAAGGCTATTGATATAATGTTTTGCTTATGTTTTTATTTATTTTCAAAACATCCTATTTTTTTTTATTATTTGGTTTTTGCAAGTGATAAAAAATTCGAACAAGTAGTGGCAAGAAGCACACTCTTTTGGACCAATTTGGTTCTTATATTAGGTTAAGTAAACAAATTATTTTCACCCATCAAATTTAATCTTTTTTTTTGTTTTAGCATTAATCTGGTATTGATCTGAAGGTTAAATAGATTTTTAATCAATTTGACTTATACTTTTTTTTTTGTTATTTTGCTTTGCAGGCAAGAAAAAATTCCAACGAGCAGTGGCAAGGGTCACATTGTTTTGGACCAATTCAGTTTTTATATTAAATCAAGTAAACAAATTCTTTACACCCTATCAAACTTAATTGATCTTTTTTTTTTTTTGTTTTAGTATTAATCTAGTATGCATTGGAACTGTAAAATTGATTTTTACTCAATTTGACTCATGGTTTAAAAATTATATTAAATTAGAATCACTTAAATGTATTAATAGAATTTAATCATTGATTTCAAAGAAGATGTAGTTTTTACTGTATATACAATATGTTTTGATATTTTTGTATTGATTGTTTGCAGTTTCTAATCTTCCTTATTGTTATCATTCATCCTGTTATTATTGATGAAAGATTTTTTTTTTGCTATGATTTTTATTTATTATTACAGTTATTTTGGAGGATTGTTTTTTCTCCTCTATATTTGTTTTTTTGCCTGTTCCTATTTCACTTATTTATTATAAACTAATACTTTTGTAATTTTCTCAACAGGTGTTTATCTTCTTTTTTAGCAAACATTGTAATAGTGGGAGGTCACTAACTATGAAGAAATATTTATTGATCTAATAAGTTTAGTTGATGTTATTTTTTGTAGTTTTTTTTTAAATATTCTCACTACTATTAAAAAATGATTTTTATTTTTTTATGGTTATTTAGATATGTTTGTTCGTGTTATTTTAATTTTTTTATTTCACTTTTTTTTCCAACTTGCATTTATATATGTTTGTTTCTATTATTTTAATCTTTCTAGGTTTTATTTTTTTTGGTGTTTCACTATTCTATTTTCATAATTGTAATTTTAGAGTTTCTCTTCTTTTGCTCTTACTAAAAAAATTTAGAACTTATTATTTTCTGTTTTTTATTTTCTTTTAATATAGGATAATGAAAAAGAAAAAATATTAGAATCTCTCAACCTTCCAAGAAATCTTTTTGTTTATATAGATTGAAGGATTGATTGTTGCATGAACATTTTTAAGTTGATGTTGAGAGGACAAATAGCATATTGTTAACTTTCCATTAAAGTTACTTATAAATTTTTTCGGTAAATTAGCACTCAAAAATAAACACTCACAAAACCATATATAGTAATTTTTTTATGACAATGATGAATATATTTTGACGTTCTAAATTTGTTTACAAGCTTTAAAAAATATTTTGAAATTTTTATAAAGTTATCAATCTAATCAATATTAAAATAATCTTATGAGAATATATGTATAAAATCTTTTGAATATTTCTTTCATTAATTAATTAAATATCTTCTTAATTCATTATATATCCTCGATATAAAAAGAGGGTCTAAGTCTAGTAAAACTAACCACAAAGGTTAAATAAATACAAAATTGGCACGTAGTAGGTGGGGAACATGTACGCTGAGTGAAGGAACACGTGTAAGACCGAAACCCGCCCATGTCTCTGGCCTTGAAACCACAAAACTCCTCCTTTCGTTTTGATTTAAACAAAATTTAATGTTAAGTATGTAAAACAGAAATTTCAGCGATTAAAGTTAGATTGAGATGCAAGAATGAGACAAGTCTTGGAAGGATCAAGCTCGGATTGTAGGACCACTAAAAGCTCCTGTCATTGCCAAACAATAATGGCTACCTCACCTCGCTTAAACCCGTAAAACTCAAGGTTTTCAATATTTTCAAGGTACCTTGGCTAATCTAGGAGGTAAGAGAAGGCTAAAAGCTATTGCTTTGGGATTTCTTTTAAGGCTTGGAAGAGTTTTTTAGGCTGTGGGAGGTTGCTAGGCTGCTAAAAGAGAAATAAGTTTTTTTGAGGGTTTTCTTTCTTAAGGTCTCTTTGTCGCGAGATCATTACTCTTTTTTTTATAAACACGCTTAGAAAGGTACGCAGCACCTCTTTCGGTGACTCCCACTAAGTCCACTGACCTCAACTCTGCCTATCCTACTGAGCCCACTGACCTCAACTCTGCCTACTCCGGTCTGTCGAGGCACTTGGCGTGTCGCAGGAGTGTCGAAGAGTCAGTCATTACTCTCTCCTCCATAAATACGTTTATGAGAATGTGCAGCACATCCGCTTATAAAAAACCTAAAACTTCCCGTTCCTATCCGATGTGGGATATAGATACTTTCCTCGTGATATTTTTCCTTGGTTAAAGGACTAAGGTGTTTATATAAAGCAATCAATGTTTTGGTTAATTTCATCCAACAAATCAGAAGAATTTTATCCTTAGGCTCAAACCATTTAAAGTTGCAATAATCAGCTTGAAAATCAATGGCAGTAAAATATGAAATGATATGCTATTGAAAAAATCGAGATTTTTTTTTAATTTGATTTATTTCAAAATTTTTAAAAACTTGTGGAAAAAAATATACTTGCAAAATAAAGAATTGAGGGTAAAGGTGCAAAAAGTTTCTTTTTTTTTTATTTCTTACAAATTCTTGTTAAACAATATTATTTTGTCAGAATCCTCAATTATTTGACATAAGATTTGTCAAGAAAATTCTGTTATCGACTTGTCCCTCTTGGGATTGGGCCAACCCCATTACATAAAGTACAAAATTATAAGTTTACTCATTGTTAAGCAAATGTTGCTGACAAAGTAAAAGATTTATCAACTCAATGATAACAAAAATATTAGTATTATAATTTTTTAAGAAATTAACTCTTGATAATTAATTAATGATGTACATATCAATTAGTACTAGTATATTAATTAATTATCCACACATATTGGCACGTGTTTATTGTTAATAATAATAATGTATTGTTTTAAAAAAGCAATAATAACGCATATTAAAGTTGACTCATTGTTTAAGAGTCCAATTGCTCCTCATTTCTTTGCAGGTTCTTGAAATGAGGTAAGCGAAAAGGTCAGGGAATGTAAGAATATGCATGCACGGCAAAGGCTAACGTGCACCGCAAACCATTAAAGTAATATTATAAATTTTAACTTTTACATTTGTGATATTTTAAAAATATTATAAATCTATCCATTTTGTCAACCATTAATGGAATCAAATAGAATTTCTCATCTCAATCCCAAGTTGGATGTTCAAATGACATAAATCTAAAATATATTGATGTTCATGTGACAAAAAATTCTAAATCTAAAAATTAAATTTTTATAGATTACCAATAAAAATGAAATATTATTCAAAAATTATGAATGATTGGTGCGTTTTAGTTGATTGTTGCCATCAACCACTTTACCTATCTCTCATTTAGACGTGTTTGACGTAGGTGGGATCTAAGTGTAATATCATTTTGTTATAAAATTATTATTCTTTTCTTAAAAAATTAATTTAATAAAATATACACGTCAATATTTAAAAAGTTTTTAAAATTTTTATTTATTCGATTTGAAATTGAAACATCTAACTTATTTCTTTAAAATGTTTCATGCAATATTAGCAAAGAGCTCCGATTGTAGCTAATTACTTTTGTATATTGATAGAAGATTTATTATTTATTATTTTTATATTTTTATTTGATTTGATATAATTTTATCAATTGAATTATATTTTTTTTCTCAGCATCATAAAAATAATAAATGATTTTAACTTTTAAGCCATAACACTAATTCAACCAATAATCTACATATTAGTATAAATTATTAAAAAAAACCCTTTTATGGTATTAAAGAATAAACTCTCAATATATATTTTTGCTTACAATTACTTCTTGAAAAATAGAATGACATAACAAGGAATCTATATATAAAAGACAATAAGAAATTGGATAAACTTATCTATGATATTACATAAAGATAAGGAGTTTTGAATTTTAAAGAAAAAGCATCCTTAAAAATTCCATCATTTCAGAAACAAGTTTGCCTGATTAACAGAAAATTAAATTAATTTATGTTATATATATATATATATATATATATAAAGCTTGAGGTGCAAATTTTATTTGTTTTTTCTGGGTGAGAATGACCGTTAACTCGTAAAGGTTCAGTTAAGTAATAGAGAAATGTGGCAGACGCGGGCCGGCCGTCAGGACTGAACAATCTTTGTTTTACTATGACCATTTCCTTGGCCTCTCTCTTTACTTAACCTCCTTCACGCCGAAACCAAAACAGAACAAAGGCGCACACGCATGAACAAAACACAAAACTCAAGCCTCCGAGAGAAGCAAAAGAGGAAAGACAGAAGCTTGTAATATGTATTAATGCAACATCGTCTGCACTCAATCTCTTTGCTTCATCACAAAAACTAAGGGAGAAAAGAAAAGAAGGTTCCTTTGCTTGAAGAAAAACGATCCCTTTCTTGTAAGTTTCTTCCTTTTTATCCACTTCTTTTGCTTCCCTTTCTTTCTTGTTATCTTTTGGTTATAACCCTTTTCTTTTCTTCTTCTGATTGATGCTTTTGCCTTTAGGGCTCTTGGATTGGTAAAGCACTCTCTCTTTTTGGTTTTGGCATCTGGCCCCTTGTATTATCTCTTCTCTCATTTTCCTTTTCTGGGTTTTTTAGAATGTTAATTTTTTGGATGTATTTTCCTCAATTGGGTTTAGGCCAATTAATTAGTTTGGTTATTTTCGGTTTTCCTTTTGGTAGGCAGTTGCAATAAAGTGTTTTTTTGTCCCAAAAAAGTTTTCTTTACTTTTTCTTTTTGTCAATTTCATCCTCTCTCTCCCTAGAATCGAGTGTTTTTGAGTTTGTTTTTTTGAATAAATAACTTTACATGCCTCTTGCCTCTATCTGTTGAGCTTTAGGTGTTGTACCATTCATTTCTGTTCTAATTTTCTTAAGATATTCTCTTAATTTTGCTTTAATGGTTAGAGCAAAATTCTTCTCAGCTTTCTATGGGGTGGCTTTTTCCTTCCTTTGTTACAAACACTCTTAGGGGCTATTTATCCTGGTTTCAGTTGCAAAGTTATGAGGAGTTTCATTTGAAAATTTAAAAGCTTTTAGATAGTTTCTAATCCTTTGTAGTTTCTGTAAACAGGAGAAGAAATAAACAAGAGAGCTTGATCAAGGGGATTCCTGGCTTGGCTTATAAAATCTGATTGTTGAGTGTAGCTGTATCTGAGAATGGGGGATCATTTTGTATTACTAGTGGACCGCTTGCTGACAGAATCCACGTTGGAAGCCGCAATTGAAAGCAGGAACAAATCTTTGCAGGCCACTGCATCAGCAGTTGATGACACAGAAGCTGTCAATTCTTCTCCAAAGGTGGATTTATCGTCACCAAGGAAAATTGTGGAATGCAGGATATGCCAAGATGAGGATGAAGATTCAAATATGGAGACTCCTTGTTCTTGTTGTGGCAGCTTGAAGGTTAGATTGGTGCTTATTTGACTGGCAGTTTTCAAATTTTGAAAATGTTAAATTCTGTTTTAAGTTTCTTTAACCTGTCCCCCATTTTTAATATTTTTCATGTTCTATTTGTTGAGACTATCCCAGAATTCTTTCACTACGCATGATTTGTTTCCAATTTTTGATGACTTTTTATCCACTTTTTGCTGTTTAGAAGACATCATCAATATCAGCCACCTAGTTATTTTGGAGCTATATATTGCACTAATTCTCTTTATTGTTAAAAAAACTTCCATGAACAAGCATGATGTAAGTTAGGTTTGAGTCTATATCAAGTCGACATGTTAGGAAAGATAAAATAAAATATCATTATCATTTGGTCTATTGGGTGGGTATTGGGCAACTAGGCATTACATAGTCATTTGCTTCCTCTCCTTCTGCCTACTTTTCAAGAAAAAAAAAGGGGGGAAAAAGAACAGCCCTACAACAAAGTAAAAAGCCTTCTTTCTCTAGAGCAATTGACACACGAAAATTTAGTTCAACACACCATCTTGAGATACTGCTTTGAAGTTTGTATCTTCACTTGTTAATTCTGAGCAATAGTTCTTGACAAGTGCAACACCATCATTCTAATTGTATAAAGTCAGAAATCCTTAGTCCCTGAGTTCACATGTAAAGTTTCCTTGAAATATTTCATTCAATCTTGTTGCAGAGCATAAGCTCACAATCAGTCATTCCTGCCCTGAGAAGCACCATTAACTTCGTAACTTAATTCGTCAATAGCATTATCATTTTTTACAAGTTTGACCCAAAATTTTGATTCAATAAGCCTATTGAAATGTGAGACTGCACTTCCCTGAATGTGGCTAATGAGAAACATCTCTCACACTTCTCTTCTTGAATTCAAGTTCTAGTGTTTAAAGAAGAAATTAGTTTTGCTTGTGCTCATAATAGAATTTCTACCTGCAGTTCCGAGAATGTTTAGATCAATTTTGCTCCTATATATATAGCCTTCAATATGCCTTCCTCTTAGCTTTGTGTTTTCAAGAATGTGTTCCTTGGGAAACTCCAGCAAGGTAAAGTGAAGGGTTTAGTTAAAGTCTAGTTAGTTCAAGATTGATTGTCAAGTTAACTAACTGGCCTATCAACTAATTATTAGTTTTCCACTACTACTAATTTGTTTCAATGCAACAAATACACTTGTATATATTACATTATCTGTTTACAGTTGAAATTTCGTAACACCCTCTACTTTATTACAGTATGCTCATCGCAGATGTGTACAAAGATGGTGCAATGAGAAGGGCAACACAACCTGTGAAATATGCCATCAGGTTACTGACTTTTACGAATCAAGTTCTAGTTAAAGCCTTTTTCTTTTATTTTCCTTTCAAATTCCAATTTCTTCATGTTGTATATGGCTCAAGTTCTTCTGTGTATAGTTTATCTCTGGTGCTATCTAAGACTAAAATCATCTGATCGCAAATATTCTACATTTCAGCATTTCAAGCCAGGCTATACTGCACCACCTCCCTTGTTTCAAATTGGGAGTATACCGATGAATTTGAGGTAACCTTTTTTATAAGTTTAGTGTATCAGCTGACTACCTCTGATTATGTTAAGAGATTTAAAGGTGCTTCATATTTCTTGAGAATTTTATCAATAAAGTACCCTTTATGCTCTTTATACTAGGGGAAACTGGGAAATTTCCAGGAGGGAGTTAAACAGTTCTCGCTTTATAGCAGTGGTCTCAACCGATCGAAGCTTACTGGATTCTGGCTATGATGAATATTCAGTTTCCAATACAAGAAGCTTTATATGTTACCGTACGGTAGCAATAATTGTAACTCTCTCTCTCCCCCTCTTATTGTGTTTTTGTGTGTTCTTTCCTTTGTGTATGTGTATATTGACTTCTGACATTCTCTAAATCAAGTTCACTGTTCAAACAAATAGCACAGTTTGGGAGGAGAAATATATGATATTTTGTAGTTTAATACTTAAAAATATTCTGATAAATGCACTAAGCTAACTATGCTTCATCTTTTTGACACACATGGCTAATGAAGATTAAAAACAGTTCTCACTCTTGCAATCGGTAGTTGAAATTTTAAGTTTAAATTTGGGTTGAAAATTATGAATCTAATTGCATAAGTACTATTACTTCAAGTGTAGTTCTAACAAATTTTCTTCGAGTGAACTAGAAGCTCTGGTTGAGAGTTTAGTCTTGTTCTTCAATTGCTGTCATTCTGACAGCCCTCTACCCAATTTCTTATCCTTTTCATCTGCAGTTCATGCTTCTTTTGATTTTGCGACATACACTTCCTGTCATGCTAAGCCGAATGAATGGGTATTCTTTTCTATTGTTTATGGTAAGACAGTTTTTATTTTTCTTGTTGTTTAAGATAAAAGCTGCCAAATTCTTTACTTTCAGACTGAATTTTCGCCCTCTCACGTTGTACAGTTGTTAGTACTTCGGATTGTTGGAATTGTCCTACCACTCTATGTCCTGGTGAAAGCAGTGACTGGCTTTTATCGTCGCCGGCAGCAACAGGTGAGTTACTGTTGATTCAACTCATAGTTCTACTGTTACGGTGTGTATGTTAAAGGTGAAACAGTTTGCTTATTGAATGCTTTTTCTGGTTGACCATTAGGAGACTCCAGCTTCATTATTTACTCAATCAGATGAAGAAACTGAGCATTCTAGCATGCAACCTCAGTCTCACACAATTAATGTCCGTTGAAAGCAACATAGGTGAACGAAAAGTTATCAACTGTTATTGAGCAGAACACGCCTATCTTTCTATCCGTTTTATGTTTCAAGGTAAATTAATATATTTTCATTATTAGCCACCTTCAAGTGGTAAAAGAGTAAAAAACTGGAAGGTGTGGATCTCTGCTGATACTACAGGACTTGTAGTTTGACAATGAATTGTATTAGCTCTTCATTGACAAAAGTACTGTCTTAGCTATACAACATGTTTTGCAAATTGTCTTAGAAGAACTGTACAGTTTGGGGATGATCCCACTTGTATATAGTCAAAGAAAATATACATGCAAGCAAAAAAATCCTAAGAGTGCACTTGTATATATGAACCAATCTGCAGTATACGCAAGGAACATCAGCAATACAAGTGAATATAATTATACACTCCAATCTTCTTTCCCCTCCTTTATTTTAGTTGCATTTTGTTTTGTTTTCCCTGATGGAAAACTTGTTGCAGACAAAAATAAAGAATGTTAAACTATATTATCAAATCAAATTATATTATTCTCATGTAATCTTACTATACCGATATAATTTTAACTAATAAATTGTATATGTTGCCCGAACAGCATCGCCGGATATCACTCTAGATGAATGGTAAAACTGATGCGTAAGTGAAGAAGCAGATACGCGGATAGGAAGAGTATTGAGTTGTGTGTGTGATCGCACAACCTGGAGACATCTGTTATGATACGAATACTTAATGAGCCCCAGAAACTAGTCCCTAGATTTGTCTCAAGGAATATTTCCTTGTCGTTTTTTTGGCCCTAAAGAGGTACCACGAAGACCTTGAAATAATATTAGGTACTGTTAGATTGGAAGGAGATACGCATAATATTGTCAAAATTCAACATGCAAGAATAAAAGAATGTTCTCTGAATTGACCTTAAAGAGGTTTGCTCAGTATCCCCATTTTCAACCTAGTACAGTTCTTCACTGCTTAGTAGTACCAAAACACAAAAATTGTTCTTTACTGTTTACCATATCAAGAAAAAAATTAGGTCGATAGAAGGAATTGGACGACACTTGCATCAGACAATTCAGTAGAAGAAAATCTGTGTAAGTACCCATGCAGCATGTCAAATGTGAATAAAAAGTAAGAAAATGGATATGGAACATTTCTTTCTCAAAATTAAAATTATGTTAAATCTATACAACCAACCCAAAATTAGATTTGATGATGATGATGATGATGAGCTTGACAGTAGACTGGTAAAGAATAGGACCTCAAGCGGGCAAGTTGGCATAAGCCTGTAATCTGGAATTCTACTTGGAGCTTGAGTTCATCCGACTGGGCATCTTAAAGGTTGTGTTTGATTTTTTGTTGTTTTAGTAATCTTAATTCCAGCTTCTCCTTGGCCTGAAAAGTGGTGGAAGGAAATCAAAATAAGAAAGTTACCTCCTAATTATCAAAACCTCTCTCTCTCTCTCTCTCTCTCTCTACGCCTCACCCCCGCATTTTTCATCCCCTTTTCACCCTAATGCTTTTAAACCTTTCTGAAAGCACTCATATATCCTCAAAATTATCAAATGTTCTTTAAAGAGTGTAGTTGGTGGTAATACTTCCGATTCTTCTGCTGAGAACGCCAGTAGCAAGCAAGTGCTCCAAATGCACAGCTAGCAAGAGCAATAGCCAATGCAGCACCCAAAGGCACCACAACTGCGTTTGTTGAGGCCACCAAATCATCCAGAGTAGCCTTGGTCCCATCTTCAGCAAGAAAACCCTTTTCTTTGTACAAAGATACAAGCGTATTTCCATAATAACTAATTAAGAACTTGAAAACTTCATCCTGGTCCCACTCAATCTGACTGCTTCCTTTGTCTTTGGAACCTCGGGGGTGATAACACGAAGGACAAAGCTGCTTCGGAGGCCAAATAATCTTCGGGAACTTGGGATCTGCAGTTTCCAGAGATGCTTCTTCCTTAATTAATCTCTCATTAACTTCATTGTGCGCACTCCACAACCAAAGGGCAAAGTCACGCGCTTTGCTGAAAGGACTAGTAACCCTGCAAATTGGATATCTGCAGTTAGATGAAAGAAACCTGTACATTTGAGAAGAAAAAAACTTACTTTGGAGTCAAATTTACCTTGAACACATCTCATAAAAATGTTGACGGCACTCCTCACAAATAAAGAAGTTGTGAATAAAATCACATATAGCTGTAAATGCAAACTGGCTCTCTCCATCCTCAATCCTCACAGAGAGTGAATGCATTAAGACCCATAATCCACAACTGCAAACATATGTAAATAATTACTGACACCTTATAAATTCAATTACCACTGAAGGAAGCTCTGTTAGAATTGACTTTGTATGCATGGCTTATAATTGTTGAAAAAGAGATGCTCTTTGTTCTCAAATTATAGGCACAAAGGAAGACTGCTAGTTTGATAGAGTAAAACAAATTTTCATGACAAGGTTATCATTTCTTTACATCAAACATTGCAAAATAGCTTAATTTGTTGTTGTGTAGTTCTATTGGTTTTGTTTCTATTATACTACTTAGTGTGGAAAGATGGTCTATGATTGATGAAAGAAACAAGCACATTAGCAGTCTTGTCCATTGTTAGTAGCAAGAAATCCACACACCATATCCTCCCCTTCACAGTAGTTTTGAATCTCAGAACTGCAAGTTGAAAGTCCCAAGAATCAAACCACTGGTCTGGCCTCTTGGGGACAGATCAGCAGCATACCATCTCAGGAATATAAAATTTGCATTGAAAGCAATAACATTTACATGAGCATACAGGGGTGCATTTGAATGGTCAAGAATATTCACAAAAGTCAAATATTCTATGTCCATATCAGAAGAATTCGTGGTTGACACATGCCCCATTAATCTGGAAGCAAGCAAATCACATCCAGAGCAAATATAAGATCTTTGTGACTCTATCTATAACACCAAATAGCACAACACAACATCTAAACTCCAGTTCTTTAGTACAAAGCTAATATTACCACAAATAGGGCAGCAATTTCCTTCCCCTCTTCTTTGACCACCTTTACTTTTATCTCCAACAATCCCGCTGCAAGATTACCACTTCATAACCATTCCAGTACATTACCACTACTGCCACCAGAATGGCCTTGCCATTAACAACTTGGCATCATGCTAAGTCCAGTAAATAAACTAACTATTTTCAATTAAGCCTCCATTTTGTTTCACAAAAATGGCCTTCCAGAAAATAAAAACTTTCAGGATGAGGCATTTTCTCGAGAAACTTATAGTTCTGTTCTTTGGATGACATTGTGAAAAAGACTTTATGTATTTGGTAGTGCAATGGAAAATCTTTAAATTTCTTTCAAGAAATGAAACTTACCATACTACCATACTCCATAAGATAAATATTCTCATAAAAATTACTGATCATGTCAAACAATTTGTTATCCTTAAGACATACAATAATCTATTTTGCAATTAAACACCAACAAGAAGTGTTTCTGGCTTTTTAGTTGTACACAAGCCTAAAGCCTTCCTACCCAGATTTTCTTTCTTCCGTTTTTTCTGAGACTTCCTACCCAGAATTTTTTTTTATTTTGCTCAGCATTTCCTACCCTGATTTTCACATAATTTTTTCTAAGTACCAAACCAAAATTTCTACCAAAAGTTTGAAATTGCACACAACCTCCAAAATCCTAAATCCGTTCAACAAAATTTTCAACTAGATCAACATATTGTTAGAACCCAAAACAATGGCAAGGGTCTTAACCATCGAGTGTGAGTCTTGGGCATACATCCAGATCATCAACATGGGTCTTCAAAGGTAGGGTGGGTTTTGCAGCATCAAAGAGATTTGGCTGAAACCACTGAGGTCTGGGTTCTTGAGGCATGGTCATGATGGATGATGAATGGGTCTTGACTGGATTTGTAGAGGAAAGTGAGAAGTGGTGATTGAAGGAGAAGATGGTAAGGAAGAAGGAACGAGAAGAGGACAGTGAAAAGTGGAGGCGATTCAGTCATGATTTTATGGAGGATGAAATAAAAAAGGAAAGGGAAAACGAAAGGAGAAGGTAGCCACTGCCAGAGGGTAAGGGAAGCGATGGTTGGTGGTGCTAGGGTATGAGGGTCAACGGTATAACTCGGCGATATTTTCAAGTTGACATGTGCACTATAACATTAAGGACCATGGAATAACTCCAAATGAAAGAGAGCGGTATCTTAGGCTCTGTTTGTTTCATTGAAAATTATTTATTTGAAGTCATTTTCCATGGTTTCTGATGTTTGGTTTGTAGAAATTAGGTGGTCAATTGGAAATAAACTAGCAATCTAAGGAAAAAGAGGGAAAAATTTGGAAATTCGCTTCCATTTTTCTAATCCAGAAGACAATTTTCAAATGCAAAACACACCCAAACCCTTTTACAAACGGACCTAGACCCTCTTCCTTATAACCGTATCTTTGTGTTTAATATGGCACCTAAACTACAAATTTGTTCCAAGCACCCTCCTAGCTACATGTACATTTTTACTGTGCCCATCTAACATCATTAGTTGGTGATCATGGCATGGATTTCAATCGATCAGATTATGCAATGTGTCAGTTATGTGGGAAAAAAGCTGCTTAGCTGGACCGTTTGAATCAAACTTTCTGAATTGACTCAAACTCAAGGAACAACAAAGGATTTCTTAAGTATCTAATCAGGCAAGGCTCTCCTCTAGGGGTGTAAATGAACTGAAACAAGACAAGCTTTACTCCACTCAAACTCGGCTCATGTTACAGGGAACTGAACTTGAGCTACAGCTCAAGTTAAGCTTCAATACTTTATTCAAGCTTAGCTTAATAGCAAATAGCATTAGCTTGGGCTCTGCTCAAGCTTGTTTGAATTGAACAAAACCAACAAGTCATAAATTTATTTGAGACAAAAAATTGACAAATTCATTTGGAACAACGAAACACATTCACAGAAATCAAAAAGATTGGTTACTTTTATAGACAATTAATGTTATACATACAAGTACATGCTCTAAAAGTGTAAATAATGAACAACATATATTCCTTCTATTTTTTGTAAAATTACTAATTTTATCCTTCAAAAAATTTTAAAAAAATTAAAATAAACAGCAGAAAACATTAAAGGGTTAAAAGTCTTTGAAGTACATGAATTCTTCTCGCATTTGGACTCTTTAAGAATGAAATTCTAGCTGGTTTCGGAAAGGAATTCATGTGCGATAGATATAAACAGAAGTCTCATATTCTCTTTTAACTAATTTACACCACGGCTAACTATACTAAGTTAGACATAAGTATCCATCTATCAGTTGGCTATCAAGAGAGCATGCCACGTATTCACATCATCACCATGCATATGCCAAATGGCCGAGGACAAATGATGTGGTGATAAAAAGGGCATCCACCCATGGTCATGTGGCATATACATCATCATCACATTATCATCACATCATCCACTGTTGCCAATGTAATACATGGGTTGATGATGTGTACATGTGCCATACCTTTTTGATAACCAATTGACGAATAGATGGGCTGTAAAAAATCTTGTAAAGGTCACAGATGATAAATGTAAAATTGTTAGGTCAAAGATGACATGAAAAATTTATAAAAGGTCTCAGACCTCCAACAACTGTTCAATACAATATTGATTAGAATGTTTCATTTGTTCAACTACTTATATATATGGATAAATGAGTTTAGTTGGTTATTAAGTTGTAATGTGTAGATTGCAGTATCATTTATTATTGACTTAACTTAAATACATGTGTGACAATAGTAATAACACTTTTTGTCATTGATTATTATGTTTTAATTGGTTCTCAAGTAAATGTGGATTGTTAATTTTGCTAAAAGTTATAATTATTATCACTTCTACTAAATTTTGCTTTATTATCAAGATTTATAAAAGGCAAACCATATAAAGTGCAATTTTGTTTTTTGAGATATATGTGCTATATCAGTCTTTGAAACCAAATAAATAGGTAAATTCTAAACATTTATGTCATCTTTTAAAGAATTGTTTTCGTTTCATTTCTTAATCATTAATGCAAATGAATCTCACTGCATTATAGTTTTTTCGTATAACTTATTAATAGACAAGGATAGAAGTAGCAACTATAAACATGTTGGATAAAGTCATCTTATGTTAGCTCATTTAGATTTTTGGTTGTTTATAATTCAAAATTAGTTCACGTTTCAATTTGTCCAAGATTTTGCCATTCTGGGTCCAGATTGTTAGCATCAAATAACATTAGGTTATTTTGGATACTTAGGGTCAGTTCATTTTGGTTTTGATTCATCTAAACTTTGGTTGTTTAAAGTTTTGGGCTTATCATGTTTTAATTATTTGGATTTTCAATTGCTCAATTTTTGGTTTTTCTAAATTAGTCAAATTGAGTTAAGTTTTAAATAGATTAAGTATGATTTTGCAATTTATAAATCACAATTATCATTAGATTTGATTGGATGTATATTAATATTATATAGAAATAAAGTATTCTGAATTACAAACAAGAATTTATAACTTTTAATTTTTAGTCTTTTCACAATAATTTCTCAACCTTATAATTCAAATAAAAAAAAAGTGACTAAATAACTTCATGTCTTTCTCTTTTTCCTTTTTATTATAATCTTCAGCAGTTGTTAAAATAAGTATATTTTGCATTTGTACTTATACATTAAAATAAATATATCTTTAATTTAGAAACGATTGCAGATTTACAAAATTCTAAAAGATTCCCAAAATAATATGTATACAAAATGGGTGAATGGCTATTCTGATTCCAAAAATATTTACGATGTTCAATATCTTATCGATGGCTTCCCTTGCATACACACACGTGTGTGTATGTGTGTGTGTATGTGTACATATACGTGTATAAATCTAAAAAGTAAAACAAAAAGTGTAAAATATATATGAGCTGTTCATAAACATAAACAAGCTGAGCTCAGCTAAATTCAAACTTAATTAATTTATGCAATGAGCTTGAAAATGTTGTTCAAACTCATTTATTTAATTAGTAACAAACATAAACTAGCCTACGCCAAGCTTATTCACAAACTCCTTGACAAGCATAGGTTGAGAGTATTGGTTTGCTAACACATTCTCCCCTATTGCCTCTTTTTTTTTCCCCTTTCTTTGTCTATAATCCCATAGATTCCCCTCTCTCTAGACCAACACCCAAGACCATACTTTTTGTAGGAATACAATTTCCATATTCAATGCAATACGTCAACAATAATGCTATTCGTTGAGAATTTTAAAAAATTCATTGATAGCCAGAAAGCACAAAAACGGACAGATAATATGAGAATGACATGACATGAAAATTTTTAGAAAATTAGGACATGAGTATGGCAAGACAAGACAAGAAGAAAATATTTTTATTTTCTTTAATGCAAAAATATAACATCAATTCACTTTTTTAAAAATTAAACATTTATAAAGACCACAATTAAATTTTTAAGAAAAAGCCCAAATAAAAATTAGCTTAAGTTAAGGCCCAAATTAAGAACAAGGCTTATGCCAATATTAAATAGTTAACTTAGGCCCAAAGTTAAAAATCCTTAATTCTTAATTTTGTAACTAAAAGTCCATTTTCCACATTTGTACCAAATGTTTAGTTCACATAAATGTCCATTATTTGTTGCAAATAAAAGTAAAAAAATGTATTCTTAATTGTAGCAGATAAGAATTAAACAAGTCGATTGTTTATTACCCAGGCAGTACATAGTTTCACGAGAAAAATAAAAAATAGTGAACAAAGAAAAGGGGAAAGGGGCTTCTACAAGTAAATCTTGTTTGCAACTATCTTTGAACTTCAGTTTTATTCTACAAGGGCATATTTTCACCTTCTACAAAATAAAACCTCAAAAATCCTATGTCCCTTCTATGTTGGGTCATGTCTTAACTATAAGTTGGGGTTGTCTGTTTTTTTTTTTTTTTTGCACATCCCAGCAAGTCCAAATGCCCAATAAGTATTTTGCCATGTACGAGGCATGTCCATGTCAGACACGGATATGACATTGGCACACAGGGAAGACGATTGTGTCCATGCTTCATTGGTTTTGTTCCCTGATTTTAAATTTTAAGAAATTTATCAAGACCTAAGTCTTAACTTTAAAATTTCTTTTTGAAGGATTTAAAAGTAAATTTACAATTTATTCACATAGGCCAACCCTGGTCAGAGACTTGAGAATTTAAAACATTTCGAATGCAGTAGATGGAGATTACACAGCCGATGCTGCCAAATGTACTTCAATTTTCATTCATTGGTTGTGAAATTTACCTTGCTTCACTACATGTCCATTCATGAGGAAGATGTTGATCTTGGTCTCTTAAGTTCTCATAATGGGTGATTGAGTTGGTGCAAGTCTAGTGAGTCTAAAGAGAGAGAAAGAAGGAAAAAGGAAAGGAAATACAATGAAAGAAGAGAGGAAACTCACATAACAATCCGCTGCGTGGAAGTGAAAGAACATGGTAGAGAAGAGAGGGTGAAGAACTTTCTAGAGAAATAAAGAACACAGACAAGAACAATGAAACTACAGAAAATAACTTTTTTTCCACATAATTGACATGCATCTTGAGATAATTTGCTAAAACCACATCATCATCCCTAACTAACATTATTACTTATATAGCACACTAAAGAGAATTGGAAATTGTAGGGGCAAACTAAACAAATGTTTAGTTCAGGTACCAAATTAAACATTGAGTTGTACTTCAAGTTACTGTTCCTGCAATCCTCCTTTTAATGCATCAATGTAATGTCTCGCAATGATGCATAGATACAGTAGACTCCCCTACATACTGGTGTCATATCCATGTTTAACATGTATACCTTTCAACACGGCAAAATACAGATTGGACATGCAGAGACACACCAAAATAATAGAAATAAAAAATCAACCATGAACAAGACATGAATAAGACATGCCACAAAAAGGAAGGAAACCAAATAGATATGGCATGGAGGGTTTTTTTTTTTTTTTTTGCATATTTTATCCTAAATTTCGCCCTAAACAAAGGTAAAAAAAGCCCAAAGAGGAATTACTCAAATTCTTTCTCACTTAAAACCCACACAATCAAACCAAAAAAAATCAACCAAATATCTAAATTCAAGAATCACCAATTAATTTGTTGAATTGTTGAAACTTAGAAGATGGTAAAAATCTAAAGACTTCAGATATGGAAGGGGTGTTTTGCTTGCTGAAAATGCAGGAAATAAGAGATGGTAGGTGGAAGAATGCCCTTGTATAAGGAAAATGAAGAAGTTCAAAAATAATCTCAGACAATATTCACCTATACAAGCACCCACTTTCTTCTTCTATGTTCTGCATTTTTGTTTAACTTTTAAAACTTTTTATTGCGTGGGCAATGGACAATGGACTCTTAATTCTCATCATCCACAATTAAGAATGGACTTTTTTTTCTCAAAAGAATGAACTTTTTTAATTACAACAAAAAATGAATTCCGTCAATTACAATTTGTGATCTCGATATTTGGTGGAAATGTGGACAATGGACTTTTAATTACAATTTAGAATTTTTAAGTTTGACCCTAAGTTAATTATTTAATATAGGCATAAGCTTAATTTTTAACTTCAGCCTTATTTAGTTATGTAGTGTGGGCATACGCCTAATTTTTAAGTTGGAGCTTTTTCTTAAAATTTTAATTGGGGTCTTTATAAAAGTTTAACTTAAAAAAGAAAAGTATGGATGTTAGTATTTTTTCATGGAAAAAAATATAAAAAAAAATCTTTTATTGTCACATCCTGCCATACCTGTCCTAGTTTTGTAGAAATTGCCATCTAGCCATGTCCATGTCATGTCATTCCCATATTGCATGTCCGTGTCTGTGCTTGCTAGGTGTCTTATGTTCACAATGGTATGTCAAGATGTAAACATGAACGAAAGCACATATGCTATAATAATTGCACTCACATCTATAAAAGCCTACTCCACTATCCTACCTATCTCCTATGCATACAGGAAGAATCCTATGCAAAGACCCTACAAAAAGAATGCTACAACTTTATGGGTTCATAGAGAAGTAAAATATTTTAATACCGAAAGCAACGTCCAAAGAGAGTGAGAGGAACCTCAGATTGGAAAAGATGATGATTTCTTTGAAAATGCATGAATTAAAAATTAAGGAGTTTTAAATCATTACCTAAAGCCCCTGGTATAATTCTTGCTACCACGACAAAACATCTGCAAAAAAAAGAAAAAAAAAACATCCAAATGGCTTATAAGCAACCACTAGAAAAAGAAATTCAATACAGTATTATGAAAAGAATATATTTCATCTTAAACCAAAAAAAGGAATAAATATTTTATTGAGCTTAAACTAAAAGGAAACAAAGCAATTGACAATCTCACAGCTGAAAAATATCAGTCATAATAGTAGATAAATGGAGAGGGAATGGATCACACATGAAATAGGTGTAGTAACTACTTATTGCTAATAAAACCATGAATTGTAATATCAGAGCATTTTACGTCATGCAAGCTAGTTCACTAGTTCCCACATCAGTCAAAAAATTATTGTGTCTAAAGCAAATAAAATGCATTTAACCCTGCCAAGAGGTGGCACATAATATCAACAATTTCAAATATATGCAAGCAAAGAAAATAACAAAACAAATTTGCCTTTTGTGCCTACCCAATATCCACGGGGAACTTCCTTTCCACAAATCTGGAAATTGCTTAGCACCTCTTTCACATTATTGGTGGCAACTTCATGTCTATCAGATGACCACATATCTGGTGGGCACAAGTCATCGAAGTTCACAAGTACTTCTGCACTTCCCTTGCGACACCTAATACACATATTCTAGTAACACAATGAAGGAAGCACCATATAAGGCCAAGCCAAGGTACATACAAAAAAGTAGGATGTTTACCTCCTGGAAGGATGATGAGCCACTAAAAGCTGAAGGTATTTTATGAGTGAAGCTCGAGTTTCCGATTTAATCATCTACGGGACATTATATTCAGGAACTTTAGAAGACAAATATTCCCAGCCTCATATAAATATACATAAACACACACAAACACCCACACAAGACAGGAAATTTCACACAAGATAGAGAAATGCCCACCTTGTGTACTAAAATGATGTCAAAGGCAGTTGTGGTAGCCTCCTCCACATCATATATGGCTCGAGCAATCTTCCAAAAGCCCAATAAAAAAGAAGTTAAAATCCTAAGCAAATGAAATAACCTCAAACATGCATTTTCATCGAAGAAAATAGGAAATGCATAAAAAGACCTGTCCAGGGTCCGATATATTTGACGGAAGATGCTCGTTTTCAAATTTCTCATCATCTAAGCCATAAGAGCTGAAGAATATAAGCAGTAGAAATCATATCAGAACTAGAGCTAATGGTCAAACTTTTATAGATAAGTGCAAATCTTTGGCATTTACTTAACAGTATAAGATCAATCAAGCACTTTTTAGAAGCATATGTGAGAACAGAAGCAGATTTTCTTATACTCCAAAACTTCCCCAGGGCCGATGGTTCCAGTACCCTACCTTCAAAAGGTCTAAGTCCACCCCCCCCCCCCTTCTCTGTTTAATCACCAAAAAAGTAAATAAAATAAAACAAACTGTTTCCTAGTACTAACAAAATGATTGATACCATCAGGTGTGACAAGGGAAACCTCCAACTATTATTTTGCATTTTTGCCATAAATTATAATTCTTAATTTTTCAGAAATCAAGTGCAGACTTAAGTCAAGGTATGTGTTACAAAACCAAACGCTATAGAAACCGAACTTGCTGGCTTTCCTACTCATACACACTTCAGCATAAATTAAACTTCTGGCATGCATTAAACTATTCAATCATAGTCTGTCTCAAGGATTTGTGATAAGATGGGCACATACTTCTACGCACCTAAGCATAAGCTGCCACTGAATCTGAAGAATACATCATTTTCCTCTATGCATGTCACCAAGATGCATTTAGATTTAATGGCGCAGGGGTGTTGTGAAGACAACTGGGCGTTGTGAAAGACAGCAATCGTGGCAAGGTTAGAAACCCCACTAAAGTGAATCACCAATCTTGGCAAGGTTAGAAAACCCCACTAAAGTGAAAAATAGCCAAATGCCCACTTTAGTTGGCCATACTAGAACCTCTTGCTCTTTTAAAAAGAGTCTAGAGAAATGAGCACTCCTACTTAAAAATAAATTCTTTATTTATTCTCAACTTGAATAACTAAGCCAAAGGGTCCTATTTATAGTGTTATAGGTCCACTTCATAATAAAACTCTATTTCTAGTTGCCTAATAACTAGAGTAGTTAACAAGAGATTTAAATAAAATAGGTGTTCTATTTCTAAATAGAACATGACTAGGCTAATCAAATAATAATCCTTAAAGTACTAAAAATACTAATAAAATAAAGAAAATAAAATCCTAAATCAATTAAAATTAAAAAAACTAAATTAAATAAAATAGAATTCTAAATGCTCCTGCATCATTTAATCTTGCATTCTATTAACTATCAAAATATATTCCTGCATGTGGTGTCAATAATTACAAGATTATTATATAATTAACATGCTTTTTACCAAACAATAAGCAGTTTACATAGGAGCTACCATTTTATTTACCAATAACGATGGCAACCATTTAGTTTTCCTAACTTATGATAGGCACAAACCTAGAAAATGGGCTAAGCTCAGGCCAGTATCAGATAAATCCCTTACAAGAATGAGCTCCCTAATTTGCTCCTAGGTTGTGTTAATTTGCCAACTCAACAAACTGATTATTGAGCAATTCCCAAATGTACAAGAACACAAGAACAAGTTTTGGTAAAACTTAGCCTCTTTCAGAATAATGGATAGTAAAGCCCCCATGATTGCCTTTACTTTATGATTCCATAATAATTTCAAGAGTGCACCTTTTATGCTTATAAAGATGCTGATATTAATGAAGATACCTCATACCTGCCTATTTGCTTATTGATCCAATTAAGCAAGCGCTCCGCTGTCCGTCCATCATCAATTAAACGTATTTCACTTTTCGCTTGATTGGGTTCCCAGCCAGCAGATACAAATTTTGTAGGAGGAGCCCAAAACAGCATAGGATAGTGACCCACAGAAAACTTATCACAAAGTTTGGTATTTATCTGTGCTGCCAAACAAGTCAAAGAACCAAAATCAAATTAACAAGACATACTTTCAACAACTGAAAACAAGAGTCAAAAAGATTTGTGGCAAAAGGAATGCAATATTTTATAAAGCGTTTAGTTACGAGAAACAAGGCTAAATAAGTGGTAAATCTAAATACATTGCCTAAAAAAAACAGTTACCTAACATGTGTACATTCCAACTCTACAAAATTCATAGAAATAATTAGAAAAATAATGATATTACCACTGCTACATATATTTAATTTTCGTACTAACAACTTTAACTGCAACTAGAATGATGTTAAACAGCTTGGAGGGGAAGGGTTTATGATAACAATAATAATAATAACAATAACCTGAAATCCTTAAGAAAATAGGGAACACTAACCAAGGGTTCCTTGATTGCATCACACAGAAAGAAAACCTAAGCATCACGCCTAGGGTTCCTTAGGAGTCACAACTAAGGTTGATTGCATCACACAATCTCTGCAGTAATAATGCTTAAAATTTCTCGAACTAATCTCATAATAATGGTCTTCCAAAAGAAAAGTACACTGATATTCATATAGGCTCCTAATCCTGAAAGAACTAGAACTCATATTTCAAGTAGGAATTTAAAGAAAATACGTAAGGCTCATGATAAAAACTAATAAACTTGACTTAAAATACCAAATATAACCTAGATCGATAAAATATTACAAAGAAGCCCCATAGCTACAACAAAGTAGCGAAATAAAATCTTTTATAAGCCAATCACTCAATTAGCATCTTTACATTCTTCATCATTCTCCCTTTGTTGGAGAAAACTCAACCTCAGGGTTTTGAAATGTTGAACTAAAATTTACTGCAAAACCCGTGAAGAACATTGCCAACAATAATGTTTTCTTGTGGGTCACAAATCCTCAATAAAGCTACTTGTGACTCATTCTTGAGCACACCTCAAATAATAAAGTCAATGGGAATTTTTTCTTCAAATTCCTCAACTGTTGTGATAGTCATGAGCTTGATATCTAGAACTGGAAGAATATTGTCAAAGGAAGGTCTTCCCAAGGCAGCACTTCAACAAACTCTCCCTTTGCCAACTCAAAATTTTAAATACAACTCGTTTAATCTCAACATCTTTTGTTTTGAAAAGTTGATTGTGCGTCAAAATCTTCAAGTGGCTGATCAGATTGCACCTGTGGTTTCTTGAGGTCTAATGTTACAATGGCATTCTCCTTTTCTTCCTCAAGAATGTCAACAACCACTGGAAGTGTGGTTTAACTCTCCGACCTTGAATCTCCTCGACAATACATTTATCATTGCTGATCTTATCTTAAAACTTGTCTTTAGGTTGAAATACTTGTCAACAAGTTAGAAGAACAAGATTGAGACCATGAAGTCAGATTTTTTTGTAATTCATCCTTTATTTTAAATAGGATGTCTTAGTAATTCTCTTTTGATTTCAGCCCTCAAACCAGCCTTAAAATAGGCTGCTGCTAGGTTAGCATCTTCCTCAAATTGACTTCTAATCATTAACTCATCAAACCTTTGCATATATTCTGCCACTAGCATGCTACCTTGCTTAAAAGTAAGGGCTTTGTCATGCTTCTTGTCAAGATAATTACATGGCATAAATCTTTCTCTAAATTTGGCTTTCATATCATTCCATGCACTCATTTGTGGCTGCCCCAACCTAGCTATGTTTCTCTCAACACCATGCCACCATATTTTGGCTTAGCCCAACCAGCTTCATCTTTGCAAATCTAACCCTTCAAGCATTCGACATGTCATACCAATCAAAGCACTCCTCAATAGAGGAGAGCCAATCTGAAATACTATAGGATCAACTTTCCTTCAAAATCAGGAACATAAATGTTAATTTCCTTTGCTATATCACTTACATCTTGCACTTCTTGCCATCCTCTTTTAACCACTTTTGACCTAGTGCAACTCATAGTTTTGCCTTTGAGGAATTGTTTGAGTAGTTGCTACCTCATCAAGTTGTTTGCCTCTGGTAAAGAATTTTTTAAACACCTGTTCAAAGTTGGACAGTAACCTTGTTTCTAGTGAATCCATATCTCCTCTCAATTCTGACATAATCTTCTTGGTTTCTTCATGACCTTGTTCGAAAGCCTCAAACTTTGAATTCAATTCTGCAGTTGACACCATTGTTAACCAGAATTATGGGAACAACCTTTGGATCTTTAAGCTTGGAAGACAAACTGACATAGATGATAGAACAGCTTGGAGGAGATGGGTTAATGATAATAATAATCTCAAATTCTTAAAAGAACAGGGAAAACTAAATAAAGAAAAGATCCTTAAGCTCCGCACCTAGGTTTCTAATAATTCTCATTTCTCATAACTTTCAGTAACATTCAACAAACCACTCCATGTCCAGAGAACCTTCGATTCCTACCAATTTGAAACTTCTAGATACCTTGTGGACAAGGTTAGAGATTAGTTACATGATGGGAATAAATTAGGGACCCAAACTAATATAGAGCTGGCAAGTATTTTGGAGTTCAGAGATTACTGCTTTTTTTTTTTTTTCTCTTGACACAAGTCATTTATGAGACCCTTCAATCAACTTAGGTGTACTAAAACCTTTATTTCTAAGGAAAAATGCCAATGATAGATAAGGGCGCCCAATTAAAGGGGGTAGAGAAAATTTATGCCATAGAGGAGGATGCAGAGGGGATACTAAAGATTTGGATTTGGCTATTGACAGCTTACAAAGCTCAATATCAAACAAATAAACTCGATCTACAAAGAGGGAAAAGAACACTGAACTAATATTTTAAGCTCATGCAAATGAATTTTGATATATATTCTCAAATAACTAAAGAAGTATTAACAGATACCTTTCGATGTTTGGCAGTGTTAAGAAATGCTTGAATGGAGCAATAGCTCAATACAACCTCTGAATGATCATATCAAATATAATTGTCCATCTGTCACGTGACAGATGCTATTCAAACTGCTCGTTCTAGCTATTAAACATAAGATATTACAACTTTATTATATAAGATTCTGCATGTAGACTAGATTTTCAGCCGTATCTTAAACCCCCGAATTATGCTAGTGAGGCAAATATAAGCTATTGAGGAAACAAGTATTTTTACAGCACTATTTCCACAAGGCTGCACCTTGGAAGTATTCAGAAGACAAAGTAAATACCTTTAATGCACAGTCTACTCGAGTCATCAATATGATACCAGGATGCACAGCTTCAGGTCCATTGAAAAGCCTAGCAACTTTTTCATAATGGGGCTGCAAAATTGTAGGTAAAGCCGCAAAAATCATTAGAAATGAATATATGAAAAATACTAAGTGCAATATATACCATATGATACCTTGTAATTTCTGCAAGCAGGGCACCTGAAAAGTGATAATCACACAAGAGGAATGTCATATAACATCAAAAAATTGGCACAATGAATGGAATTCAACCACTAACTACATAATACTTAAACTAAGCAGCATGGCAACTTTACGAAAGCAGGCAAGCGCACTGCATGCAAGAACATGTGCCAGTGCGCAGAAAGGTGCCTTTCTTATAGAAAAAGAAAGCCTTTTGCAATTATAAACTACATATAATTAAACAAACAAAGCAACTACAAGGAAACAAAATTATATTGATGGTACCTGGATATGTTGATAGTAAAATAACACAATGCATCAACCTGGGCTATGAAATGTGAATAACTATAATTAATTGGTTTGCTAACCCTTATCCTACACATCAACTGTCACTGATGTAACGGTGATATGTGTCATAGATCCTATAAATAAGGTAAAAAATGTAATTTGTTCAAAGGTCAGTTAGCCATTGCCATTATAAGCAAAGCCTAATATCTTTATATCTCCAGCCTGCAAGGCAAAGCACAAAACATATTTCCACCATGCAAATGGTTGACAATATGCTACAGGCCATTTGGAAACAACAAAATGTCACAGTGAAACAGAGTTAAGCAAGGAGAATTTTGTCCATGGCTTCAAAGGCTTATTTTTGGATCTATTTTGAATTTCATTCCATTAGGTCCAGTTCAGAAGCAGGTGCATGTCAATAAGGCAATATCAATTTTCCTCAAGTTTTGCCAATATTTGAATGATCATCCCCTCATACCTATGTTCATGCGATTCCAAAGGTGTATAATTTCTAAGTAACGCAGGTAGTTTAAGGGAAAAATGATGCATTACAGGTTATAATATCATTCAAGTTTGTTATACAAATTGACAAAAAAGGACAAAACTTTGAATATTAAATTAAAAAAGAAATTTAAATTTGTGACTGTTATCGCTGGAATTTTTTACTTCAAGCAATTACAGAACATAATACTGATACATTCAATTACATGCATAGGAAACTTTCAAAGGTTCAATATGTTTATCCCTACACTTGAAGCTATAAGATCCTTCCTTATTAACTCAAATAGAAATTCCGATCCTCACCATGATAGGAATTAAAAATTTCATTAAGCAAGAAATTCACAAATAAAAAACAAAGGAAGAACTTTTTCTTCAAGGGTCAACGGCGTTAACAAAGCTATAAAAGTTGAGCACAATTTTCGTGCTTAAAGCTCAAGATTTAATTAGCTCAAAAAAATAAAGCTCAAGATTTAAAACAGTTCCGCAGCTAAGAGTGGGCACATAAAAGAGTACTAACCAGTGAGCGAAGAATTCGACTATGGCGTAAGTGGCTGGAGTGTCCTTGAGAACCTCATCGAAATTCGTGATATTCAATTCGACGGCGTAGTCCTTCGGATCAGTACCGGCGCCGCCGCCGTTGTTACTGCCAATATCTCGAAGTACCGTTCGAGATCCCGCTTGCAACGACGTCGCTTTTAAGATCCAAAGGTTCAAAATCAAAATCCAATATACAACAGACATCGGAGAGAAGGAGAGAGAAAATAAAACTGATTGTTTAAATATATTAATTTTGTTGCACAGCTTCGTCAGAATTGGAATGAAAGCTTTTCTTCTTTCTTGTTTTCTCTTTGGCGACGTTTAAGTGGACGTTTTATTGGATATTAAAATTAAAAAGAAAAAGGTAGAGAGATCTGTAGGTTAGGAGTTGGGGTGGTGGTGGTGGTGGTGGGTGGGGCTGGAAATTTCCGGTGGAAAGGGTTGAGAATTACGATTCTTTTCGGTTTGAAAATTGTGATGATTAAGTCTGTGTGCAACGATCGTTGTTTGTTGCAACGTACGTCTGTACTTTTTTCATTTGAATAAATTGTGACGAGGATTACCATATTAACTACTATATATTTTATTAATATATTACATTTCACCGTAGATTAATTATTAATTAGATAAAATTCAATAATGAAATATAAAAAATAAATATATAAAAGATAAAGACTTTAATAAAAATAATAACAACTTCTTGATGTTAGGTTCACCTTTTTGACTTTGTTTATGTTTGTTACATATTAAATATGCAGACAAACCAAATTCACCTAAAATTTACAAATCTATTAGAATTACTCTTAATTATTTTGGAAGATTTGAAATTTTGTGATTCGTTACAATGCTGAATAACATTTGCTCGTATATACCGAAGTTCATGCATAGTCATTGGAATTATAAACACTTTAATATTTTTTTCGAAACTTGGAAAGTATTTGGATATATTTTTTATAATATATATCTAAAATATTTAAACTTTTCTATAGTTGAAATTTCCTTTTGGTTTTTCCATGTTAACATTCTTAATTTTGATTATTGCATCTTTTATTCAAAATACTTTTTTTTAGGGAAATGCAAGTAGGTTTGTGGGTTTTTCTCGTGTTAAAATATTTTAAACTTTATGGTTGAATTGCAAAGTTGCTTTCTTTCCAGTGAATTTTAAAATTCTATTCATGAAATATAAAAAATAAAACTTTTAATATATATATAAAGACAAAAATTAAATTGTCCGAACGATGTATAACATAATTGGAAACACAAGAAAGACAAGAAAAGAAGTGAACAGCAGACTTCTATAACACTAAAATTGAACGAAATATCTAATTAATTGATTTAGGTTTATTTTGTTGTTTGGTCGGCATCTCTCGTGCAAAGTTAGTGACAATTCTTTCTATATCACTAACACGTGTCATCATTAGACTCTGTTTAGGGACAATTTTAATCTATGTTATTATTGTAGATGTCTTGCATCATAGAAAATCATGATTAACGATTGTAGTATTATTCTATTTAATGTTATTGAATCAATATTCACAATAAAAATAATTATGTAAAGAAATATAATTTCATAAAATGAGATGTTTGGTTTAGCGATACATATACATGGAGTTTAGGGTGATCTTTAGCATGATTTATATGTTAATTAATTAGAATTGCATGTTTTAGGATTTTACTTGGCTTTCATGATTTAGTTTGATAGAAAGTGATGAACTATACTTATTTGCTAACTTTTGCATATCTTGGTTCAATTTCTGATTTTTATGGTTTTACTATGCATAAGTTACATTCTGATTTTTTATTATTAAGTTGTGGGTTTTTTTAGCATTTTATATATTGTTTAATTTGGTTTGCTTAGGATATTAGTTTACCTATTTGTGTAGAAAAGCATGATTTAAGGCTTTAATTTCATTTGCTATGCATAGATTAGTGTTTGATCAAGCATGTAGTATTTATATGATTAGGATTGGTTGAAATAAGGGGCGGAGGGTCAGGTACCCTTGGGGAGCCAAAAATTTTAGTTTTTATTTATTTATTATATATTTTTAAAAAGTTTTATTTATATATTTTAAAATTTTTATTTATTATATATATATCGTAAATACTCTTTTCAAAATAATTTTTATTTAATAATTAATATAATAAAAATTAATAAATTGACTTTACAATTCTTATTCAATTTTATCTCAATTTTTAACTTTTTTTCCACCTCTTTTTCTCTCTTTCTTTTTCTTTCTCTATTGTCTTTTTTTTTTTTCGTTTTGCTTTATACTCTTTTATATAACTCAACATTGAAGCATATTTTATTCTTCAAAAGAGATTTATTTATGAGTTTGTGAGTTTGGATAAAAAAAAGATGAGACTACTCACTACAATTGTACGAAATTAAAAAAAATAAATTTTTTTATCTTTTTTTATTTATATTATTTAACTATTTATATATTTAATTATTCTATGACATTTTATATATCGTATTTAACTTTTTATATTTTATGCATTATAGTTTTATATTTAATATTTTAAATTTAATTGAAAAAATAAAATATTGCATATTAATTGTGTTAATTTTTTTAAAATTTGATTAAAATATGAATAAATTGAAAATAATTGATAAATTTTTTTTTAAAAAAGATATAAATAATCTAAATAATACTCTTACAATTGAACTATCAAGCCATCCAAATTCAATCTTAAAAAAATTATTAGTTAAATTTAATCTCTCATAAAAATTGACTAACTCTATCATTGATTGAATGTTTTGGTTGATATCAAGACTTAAGACGAATTTATACGCTTGATTATTTTAGATTGATATTTGTGTCAAAAAGTGCTTAGTTTGTCTTTACTTTACTGATGCATGGATTGATTAGATAATAGTGAAAGTCAAGTTTCACGACGTGGACATATTGGATGCCTAACTCCTTTTTACTTTGGTACTTCACCATCGAACCCGTATCTGGTTCGAAATCCTTTGCAAAGGACCTAGTCACTTCTTTCAGTTCCCAAACTCACTAATAAATGTTTGTAGGTGAGTCCAACTTTCCATCATTGGATAAAAGTTGCTTGTTTGGTTTCTTATTTTGCCCAAGCGTTATGGAAAAACCTTATAACCCAGTTACGAGGATTGGATCTTAGGCAACGCACAATGCCAAAAAACAATTATACCAAGAACATTGTTATGCTTTATTGTTATTTTTCTTTGAATTTTTCAATAAAATAAAATTTAAAAATTTTCTTAAAATTTCTTACTATATTTTATATTGGGTTTTTTTTTCCTTTCAGGTCCGTTAATGATACAAACTATTATTGAGCTTTATAAGAATTACTGATATTATTTACACTAGTCCAAATGCCAGAGAGAAAAGAAAAAAGGGATTAATTAGTAGCTCCACCATGACTTTTTATGATGAATTCATCACTGTCATGCCCCATAGCTTGGTTGAACACATAAACAGTTTGAGGATTGTGATCATAAAGGACATAGTCGAGAGGAATCCCTAAGCGAGTGAATTCTCTCCTTAAAACTTTAAAAACTCCACCTTGAGTGAAGGCCCCATTTTATACTTCCTTTAGGAATAGCACAAGATTCTTGCGTAATTCCATTCCCTCCCTTTGCTTCCTCCATGACTTGAATTTGACTCTTCATTCTTTCGACACACTAGCTCGGTCTTTAGAATCCTTTGCAGCTACTTCGGAATAGCAATCACCCTTTCCATCTCATAATAATGGCCAAAATTCCCTCCGTGAAAGTAGGTACAAGTGACTTCAATGTCTTTGAACATTTGACGCTTCTTCTAGCATATGAAGCATTCACACACCTTCCAAATTGAAATTCAACAATTAAGTCCTTCACTTTTTTTTTATCTATTCTTAACATTGGTGTAACAAGCAAGTTAAGATCTACTTGTAAATATACTCGATTTTGACGACTAACATATTATCTCTCTTATTGTATATTAATGACTATAACCCGAGATGAGTGGTAGGGTTTATATATTATTTTCACCTTTGAGATGTTGCGAAGAATTTGGTTTAATAACTTAGATGTCAAGCTAGTTAAAAGAACTTCCTCTTAAACTTTATGTGAAGTATGAATGTTTTTCTTTTTTTTCTTTTTTCTTAAGAATAATTGACACATTTCTCAATGTCATTAAGCTCTGCTATGTCATTAGGCTTAAACATCTATCCACTAACAAGTGTTTCTAAGTTCCATCATCCCATTAAGCCTAAACATCTATCAATTACCTTATTGTGCATAATGAGGTAATATTTTTTTCCACATGATACCTATTAAATGCTCTTTACAGTAACTGCTCTATATATAAAGTTTTGACAATTTATTAAGCAGACATTTGAAAACTTAATAGATTCCTTCTCTAAACTCTTTTAAATGCTTTCTTTCACTAATCTCTTTCCCTTGATTCTCAATCTTGCTTTGTCACCTTACGTTCTTTGCACGTTTCCTAAATTTTATCCATCACCACATGCCATAACACTTAGTGTCTTAAGAACTATTCTAATCCCTCTCTTGATGGACTTCAAAACATCTCATTTTACTTGTTAAAACACACACTCTCTCCCTTTAACAAAAGAACCCCTTTACACTCTTAGATAGAAAAAAGTCCTTTCTCTAGCAATTTAATCGTTGTTTACACAATTAAAGGTGTCATGCAAAGGGAGTGAAGCCATAGCCTCCCAAGCAATAATTAAAAGAGACAAGAATATTAAGCACACAAAAGTGCACTAGTTTTTTAATATGACCCGTCCTACCCATAAACTTAGCGATTCCAACAATTGTGCGTTTGTGTTGTCATAAACTCTCACCTTAGCAATAGAAGAGATAATTTTGTAATATTAATACCTAAGAATTAAGCGGTCTTTGATAGACATCCATTCAAGGCACTTTTCCCTTTACATTTAACAATGACAACTGTAGATATTCAATTTTGGCTAACCATTATTATTTTTTAAATATTGTCTTACAGTGTGAGAACAACGTGAAACAACCATGTCATATGAGGAAGTGAAAGTAACTCAAAATAAGTGACAGGATTCATTGAGTTATCTTCATATTTGGTTAGCAATTTGGCAAGGAATAGCAATTTTTAAGTTTCACCTATTCCTTAAAATTAGTAAAAAGTCATCTTTAACTAAACCCAAGCCTCCTTTGGTATTAGCTTATTCCATTTTTGATGGAATAGCTTTTAGAATCATTAAAATGAAATTACTCCTCGTAAGTTTAAAAATTTACACTCGACCTATATAAAATCATTTTTTTCTCTTTCTTCCTCCTCTCCCTCCTTTTCTTGCAACTACATTATTCTTTTCCATTGTTTTCAGCTCTGTCAGTCGCCACTGCCTCTCTTTCTTCCACTTTTCCAACTTTGCCTATGATCAAGTTCTTGTTTGATGTAAAGGAAAATGGGTTGAATTGAATATGCTCAAGTGCCCTTTTTTTGTTCATTGTATGATGTTCTAAGCTTAGTTTGCTGCCGTCCTATTTTTTGTTCTTTGTTTAAAGTCTTGGGCT